TATTGAAAGGGAATGTTTTGAAATATATCATACTAAGTAATACATTTTTTTTAAATTACACTTAGTAGTGCCCAGTGTACTCAATCGAGTACATATGTTTTTTTTGTTAGTAATAATTACAAGTTTGTTTTGGTGGTCATTATATATTCGTATTAATGCAGTTATCTAAAAAAATTAGTTGTGTGAATTTTTTTTACCACGGTTTGCATTTGGGCATATATGGGTTAAATTGATTGATACATTTACTACATACATAAACTAAATTTTAGATCCATGCCATACATATGTGATATTTCAAATGTCTAAGTTCCAGTAAAATACATATCTGGGGCTTGGTTCTAAAAGGGCCAATATCAATAATGATGTATTCAAGAAAACTTGTTTTAAAGTTTTGTGCATAATTACTGCTCTTATGTAGGCGCTCTACTATTAGTAGTTAGTTGTTTTGTTGACTTAAAATGATTGCGCTTTTACTCTTTTGCCCTTAAGATAACATCATATTATGAAAACTAATTTTTTTGGAAAAAAAACTGACATTGGCCTTTTATGAATAAACAAAAAATGGAGGAAAAAAGACTTTGGCCTCTTTTCAAATTCTATATTTCTAAAAGTAACTTACTATACAACAAACATTTCATGTAACAAAATAAATTTCAGTACTAGTCGGCAAAATGATACTCTTCATCTTCGCTTCCACTGAATGTATCGGAGGCTGTTGGGGATATTGTTATAGTGTTAAGAAACTGAAGATAGTATGGTCTACTGCACTCATCAATATAGGGTAACTGGTCTCTCAAATGCTGCATTTTATTACTAGGAATACCCAAAGGTTTCGTGTTAATTGGCAATAGGGCGACACTTTCAGAATTTCTAGTTCTTTTCCTGAGCAATGTCACTGTTTTGAAAGGGTCATCGTCACTAAAAGAAGTTTTGTATTGTAGCAAACCAAGGAACTCGCTTGAGTATTGGATAACTCTTATTTTAGACCACACAATCTTTTCACCTAACGTGTTTGTTTTGGAATGCTGAAATTTTCCTGATAACAGTGACTTGAAGTTAAGGAATTCTTGTTGCTGCATTTCATGAACAAAAATAGGAGGTCTTCTAGAAATTGAACGGATCAAATTGGCCCAATCTCTGGGAATGTCTACTTTCACTGTGGTCAACTTTTTCGTTTTCTCAATCGCTGCATGGATAGTGTCCGCTTCCATGTGCGTATGCCCAGGCACCAAAAATTTATGATAGATGTTAATCTCTCTCCCTTCTCTTTTCATTTTTTCTACAATGGTAAGTAGCATCACTGAAACTAAAATGTTTCTATTTTGACCAGGACAACAGTCACTGTATAAAACTGCTTCAGTGATATTGGGAGGAATCTGATTCAGGTAGGTGTATAAACATGAAGCAATCTCTTGTCCACCTCTTTGAGCTATCGTCTCATTCCAGATATAGCATTTGGCAGAGTTAGTAACCCCCTGAGTTTCAAAAATGGTAAGATTAAGAGTCCATAATTTTCTCTTATAGAATGATATGCTGCTTTTTAAATAGGGGGTTGGTAAGCACTTCTGCAAATCGAAACTTATTACCAAAAGATGTGGATTTGTTTTACATGCAGCTTTGTCTTTCTTCTTTTTGTAAGCGAAATCAGCTAGAGCCAAGTGATCGTTTTTTTCCATTTCAATTTTTAGTTTTTCATTTTCTTCCTTGGCTGACTTTAAAAGAAGATCATACCTATCGCATGTAGCACAGGTGTCATTATAAGGGGTCTTAAAGGATATATTAAATTCTTCAACAAAAATTTTTCTATACATAGCTTCCTTTTTCGGTGTTACATTAATTTCTTGGCAGTATTCAAGATAAAGTTTATACATCTTTGAAACTGAAAGATCAGAAGATAGTAGATACTTTTTTGTAGTCTGCTCTCTTGAATAATGACTTTCACACACAGGAAACATTCGAATATGATGTCTTATTATGTCTTTGTCTTCTTCTTTTGTTTTAGGATGATTTCCATGTTTTCCTCTAGCATCGTCTGGACAAATCTGTGACTTAGAATTGCGCTTTTTCTCTACGATTATCCGTACTTTCTTTAATGATAGGTCAAGTGTTGATCTAAAAAAAGTTTGACAGACTTCAATTCTTTCTGTGTGCTTCTCGAAATAGTAAATTCTGGTGTAATGTCTCCTACTTTCTTCATTACTGCTTCTTAGCCTTTGTACTTTCTTCTTTATTTCTTGAATGTGATTGGCTATAAACTGATTTTGTGCCTCGTGTGATAGATTGTAAAATGCCCTGAAAATTGCTTGCCTTTCCTCGTGTGAAAATTTTTCAAAGCATTTCTTCCTACATTTGCAACTATCTTTCAACGACTTTTCGGGTACTGTTTTACCTTTTATTGTTGTGTAAGCTTTTCCTTTCATTTTCAAACTCTTCCTTCTATTTTTGTCCCAATTATTTGGATTGCGCTTCCGTTTCCTACTCTCCTCACCTACTTGCACCTTTTCCCTTCCTCTTCTTTTATTATGTTCATTATTTTGTGGCTTCAATGTATTGTCCATCATTTCGCCAGAATCTGCCGTAATGTGTGTTACTTCACCTAAAGTATTATCATTCTGATCAGAATCTGAATCATCGCTTTCATTCTCTTCTGGTTTATATTCATCATCAGAACTTCCTTCATAATCACCATCTATTTCATCGTTGCACATATTTTCTCTATAGGACACAGAGAACTGGTCCCTTGATCTTAACTGCAATTTATTTTGATTTTTAGGTACAGTACCGTTACTAGAATCTGCATTTCTCAAAACCAAAACTCTACAATGTTACTTACCGTAGTTCTCAACATAAACCAGAGGGGTTACCTGATGCTTTTCTATCCTCTGCTCTCTCTGAATGAGTGTCAGGATTACGAGTATAGACGGTATTATTCATGGATTCTGTAATAAAAATGGTACTGCTAATTGTAATTCTTAGGTGTAAGCAATTACCAATCCGTCCAGCCTAAATTATAATTTCATCACAAATCTTCCCTTTACTTGACATTTCTGCCTCACAACGCATTTTCACTAATTGTTTACCACGAGACAACATACTTGCACGCATAAAATCGACCGAAGCCCGGAATAAAAGCCTCTGTTGCAACTTGCAATAAACGAATTCTAGGTTAAGTATAGGTTGTCAATCGGCCAATGTACGCGATCTGTGACGCCATCATGCGGTAAAGTTTTATGATAAAAAGGCCAATGTCAACTTTGGCCCATTTAGAAGCAAAAGTAATTGTTCGTATCCGGGCCTATGTCTACATTGGCCCTTTTTACTACAAGAAATCTGTTCTATCACAAAACAACTTTGGCCTTTTAGTACTTTGTATCTGTTTTCCTATTGCATATAGACATTGGCCCTTTTTACACATATAAATTTAGCTGGAATGTAGTTCCGTAGTACGTATAGGCCAATATGCAAAATAATTGACATTGGCCCTTTTAGAACCAAGCCCCAGATATGTATGCCGATGACATGCAGGTATACTTATCTTTTCATATTAATAACGTACATAATGCCATTTCTAAATTAAATGAAGATTTGAGTTCCATATATAACGTTTGTACTCGCCATGCTTTGCTTTTAAATCCATCAAAATCCCAAGTTATTGTTTTTGGTAGAGACGCAAATAATTTGACTATCCCTTCCATCACCATTAACAACGATCGTATACCTATTGTTAGTGCCGCTTTTGGATCTCATCTCACAAAAGCGATGCGCTGAGTAATTATTCACATCTCACAGGCCACATCTTCAACTTTCACAAATTTACCGTCTTAGCAAATGAAACCAATACCTACAAAAGAAGATTCTTGGAAATGTGCCACATCCAGAACAACATGGAGATTTGTGTTAACGAGAAAACGGACATCAATGCCCTCAGCACAATCTACACTTTTTTATTATCGCAACCCTACACCAAAAAGAAAAAGAAGGTCACAAATACGTTTTTTGAACAACTTCCTACATAACGCAAGTCCTGTCACCTCCTATCATAACGTCCTTCTTTCAGTTTGGGAAAAAATAGTTCTAAATTTTCAATTAATCTTACACCTAAAATTCTTCAATTCAATTCAGTCTTGGTTAGTAAATGACTACCAATGCAACCATTTTGTTCTGTTAGGCCCGTTTGTAACGATACAATAATAATGTACAATATTTTGTACATTTTCTATCTGAACAGTTTTTTGAATGCGTGTCACGTTGCCCAGTATCATCGCTGTATGCAACACCGGCCAAATTCTGCCCAGTTTTTAAATGAAAACATGCGCACTGAATATCGTAGTCAGTAATATTTATGAAGAAAGGTTGGTACAACTAAGATTCAAGTCTAATGTCAAATGGATCAGCTGTTGTTATCCTTGTAAAAGTGTTGGATTATATTTCATTAAAAAAATGTCAGATAATAGCGATAGCGACCTAGGGGTTAAATCAGCTGCTGCTGCTTTGTTTATTGCAGTAAGTAGTACAATTGCTGACCATATTCACACACCTATAAAGTGGCGAAACACAAGGAAATGGATTATGAAAAGACAGGAGGGAAAAGGCATGAGCTCGCCGAATGCTTGAGAGCGCATTCGGTATACTAGCAAATCGCTTCAGAGTTTTGCTTAACCCTATAAATTTATCTGTGGATAAAGTAGAATTAATTACTCTATCGTGTGCTATTTTGCATAATTTTTTAGCTAGTCACAATCCTGCATACATCACTTCCGAGGGTGTTGTTCATAATGAGGTCAATATCGAGCCTATTAATTGTAGATTATCAGGAAACAGAAGCAGTACCCTAGCACGAGATATTCATGACGAATTTAAAATTTTTTTAATACTGTAGGCGCGAGGGAGTGGCAACACTACCAACAAAATTATGAAACATAACATGTAGCAATGAAAATGGATATTTATTGGAATTATATTACAACTTAAAAATTTGAAACATGTTTTTTTGATTGTTTTACTCTTTTGAATAGAAGTTTAGTAATTTCTTCCTCTACTTCAGCTGCAATGTCTTCATTCATTTCACAAAGCTTTGATGCTACAAAGCTTGCAAAAATACTATGCTTTGACTTTGTTTCTTCTTTTTTCAATCTTCGTTTATCTGCTATAACGTTAGTCAGGTTGTCCATTGTCCCTACAACCTTGCTCAGTATTTCTGGTTGCTCTTTTCTTTTATTTTTTGATGACGAACGGACCTATACTGTAGGTGCTGGTCTTTTAGGGGTACGGGTAAGTAAATTCAACGTCTCATCTTCATCAATCTCATACGTTTCTCTGAATGTATTATCCTTATCCTACAATAGAAAGTTTATAAAAAAGAAAGAAAGAAAGAATGTTTACTTGTGTTTGATCTATTTCTTCTGCTATTGTATCTTGCGCATCATCATCTATGATTGACGCTTGTGATTCTGATGATACATCATCGGGACTCTGTTAAGACAATTATTATTAACAGTGTCACGCAAATAGGAATACTTACGTAACTATCATAGGATTGACGAGGTGTTTGATGTTCTAACACAAATTTAATTTTGTCATAGTACCAGAGGCTTGGAGTATAACCCTGTAGAAAAATGTTGTTATTTAAAAGAGAAGCTTGGGTTTCAACGAACACTTACATCCTCCCCTGCGCCAGAACAATGTGATCGTTGTTGTTTACGATATTCTACCAAAGATGTAGTTTTTAAGGAGAGAAATTTGGTTTTCATTTCGCCAATGGTTACTTGTGGTTTCATTAATTGCAACTCTTTTCCGAGGGCCACGCTCCAAGCTAATTCGCTTTGTGCTGCAAGCAGCAGCGAAGTTCGCTACGAGCGAATTTGAACGGGCGTTGGATGATCCGACGCGCGTTTTTTATTAGCGTCAAAAACAATTCTATGAGAATATTCCACAGTCTGCACGAAACAGACTCCGCGCATCTGCGTCTAAAACAAATTATTTTGTTTTTGTCGCATTAACTTATGAACATCAGTTAATTTTGAAAGTAAGCTGGATGCAGTTTTAAAGTTAAAAGTTTCCATCAATTCTGCGTTGCGTTGAGGAATATCAATATTACTATTACTTTGAATTTGATATTGACGTTGAACTAAAATATTACTACATGCCTCAAGTTTATTTTTTATGACAAATAAATGTTACCTATATAATAATGCAGTGCTTTCATCCTCTTAACTTATTGATTTCGCATAAAATAGTATCATAATTAACATGAAAGGTACTTAATTTTTCTAACTTACTGTTAATAACGGCAAGATCCTTCCTGCAATCCTCATTGTCCTTATGTAAATTACCTAAAAAATGTTTCTCCTCAGATCCAAAGGATTCTACTGCTCTCTCTAAAGTCATCTTTTTCGCACCTCGCAAACTTCCGCATTATTTCTACACTTATTTTCACACACGCGTTCGCGAATCACTTAGCGGTGCTCCTTTTTCGTGGTCCTCGATGGTGTGGATGGCCGGGGTGGGAATCCGGGATCACCTAATCCTTTGCCGATTTCGCTCTTCTTCAGATCATTTTTTCCCAACCCTGCTGTTTCATTAATTATTTCCTCTCTTCTCCTGTTGACTTGGGAGTTGCACATCGTTCACTGTACGTACTATTTAACTTAATTTATCTAAAATATTTTTAACTGCTCATGAGCTTCGTTTTGGGTGGCAGGCTTCGATTTGGGTGGCAGGATCGCCATGTGGGGTAGGGATTATTTAGTGATAAGGCATTTGGGAAAGAGAATTTATTTCCAACTTCATTGGTTCGATGCAAGTTTTATACACTCCTTATTAGCAATCGTCGTCAAACCCGATGACCTGTCAAGTTAATGTCTGCGAGTTTGCCATCCTCGCTACTTACCTTGTCTACATTGCTGTAATAGCCAATTTCATTACATATCGGCGTATATCCTGGATATTGACTTTTACACAATCATACAGTTTAACAACCTCATATTATTACACTACACTGGTGCATTTTTATGTGGCTGCCACTTTGTGGATGGAAAAAGAGAAAATGGACCAGAATTTTTTTAACATAATTTGAATAAAATGTTCACATTCGCAAGCCCCGAGAAAAAGAAAATTAAATTGGATCAGAAAAAGTATGAATGCAATTCAATAAATGCATACATAGATGCTGTTAATACCTCAACCGTACAAGAACAAAATATTTTTATATTATATATATATATATATATATATATATATATATATATATATATATATATATATAGAAATTGAGAAACGCGGAAGTTGCAGTGCGATAATTTTGTGTGTAGTGTCGGTGGAAGCGCGCTAAAAAGACGAATTTTTTAGTGCAAGAATGGAGTAAATCGGCTGGTAAACAGCGGAGATACGATTTTTTGAAGTTTTGCGTGTTTTTGGTCGGAGATAAGGAGACCGCGTGGTTGCCAAATTCCAAGGGAGCTATCCGATAAGGTTGCGAGTGGTACCAAAAGGTAGGCCTTAGGTTTAGGAACGTAACCCGCACCGGGTCGCCCTTATCGGCCCACGCCCTCGGGCGCTGCCGACCTATCACTTTCCAGGCGATAGCGACTGATAGGTCGACAGGGGCGGAATGGGGTGCGATAGCCGGTCGGGACCGGTGGCGTTTGAATCGGGTGGAAAAGGCGAGTGTATAGACACCAGACTCGAGGGGGTGGGTTCAACCCCTGCGCGCGGGGTGCAAGTGCCTGCACGTGGTAGCAGGGTGCGGAAGTAGAAGGGTAGCACGCTCGGGAAAGGGGTCGGTGGAAAGCCCATAGTGTGCCAGAGTGGTGGAGGCTAGAACGAACCTTATCGGGTCGTGCGTGCGGAAGTGACAGTCCTATCAGCTCCCGTTAAGAGGAGGACTGATAGGCCAATATAGGCGGAACGGTTGATAGGATCGAGGCGGGAATAACGGCGTCGGGTTAGTGGTGCTTAGCGGCGTCTTTTGACACCCCACTCGGGGGGGTGTGAACTACCCCTGCGCGTAATAGGGGGCAAGTGATAGGACATAGTGTTGTGTAATATAGTAGCTTAGTTTAAGTTTAGCTTAGGATTACAGACAAGGGTTTAGTGGACATAGTAGGGTAGTTTGCGAGTGCGCGGAGTGAGTGATAATGTCGGACGCAGACGAGAGGTATGGGACGCCCATGGCCGGCAGACCCAGGCTTATGAGGTCACCAGTACTGTCTGTAAGCAGGAAGGAAGGATCCGGTGCAGAGGAGTTATCTGTACGCCCGGGAGCGAACTCTCGGATGGATGAGGTGGTTCCGGAGACCCCGTATGGTGCGACGATACAAAGGGGGAGGAGAACGGAGAGTAGGAAGAGGAACGACAGCTCCTCGACGGAGGAAGAAGTGTGGGAGGAGAAGTCTAGGCCTAAGAAGCTCAGACGGAGGACTGATGAGGGGGAGGATACGGTGCTGGTATCTCCCAAGTCGGCGGTTAGTGACCTGGGGGACATCAGGAAGCTACAGACGGAGGAGACCCTGATGGGAGGTGAAACTAGGCTGGCTATAGACGAAGCCATTCAGTTTATACGAGCCTCGACGAACACCCACACCAAGTTGAAGGAGACAATAAGGAAGATCGACGCCAGGTTTAGGGCGTTGGAGAACCATAGGGCTCTCATTGAGAGGAAGTGGAGTGCGTATGTGCGGGCGTTAAAGGTGGCAGCGGTGCAGGGGAAGACTGCGGTGGTAATGATACCTCAGATGAAAGTCGCGGCCCAGGGAACCACGAGACCGATCAAAGCAACCCAGGACATCGAGGTACAGACAAGCCCTCGTGCAACATACGCGGAGGCGACGGCGGCTCCAACGGCGGGATCCAGTGGAATGGCTAAGAGTAAGCGGGTAGAAATACGCGAGACGATGACCGAGTCAGAGGAGGAGAAGACAACTAAGGCCGTGAGGGAGATCAACAAGGCGAGGCAGAGGAGATCGAAACTGGTAAACAGGGCTTCCACGGGCGGAGATTCGGAGGAAACGGGAACGGAAAGGGACTGGACCCTGGTTGAGAAAAAGAGAAAGGGAAAGAGTAAACCTAGAGGCAGCGATAGCGAGGGGACTTCGTCGGCGGCGGCGGCGAGCATAAGACGGCGACCGAGATCGGAGGCAGTCCTGATAAAGCTTAAAGGGGGGAACGGGATGGAGGACATCCTAAGGAGAGTTAGGCAGGTCGATATGACGGGAGTCGACACGAAGATCGTGGGCATTACGAAGACGAAGACGTGTTATATAATATAATTGCCTCTCACATAATCGGATTGGTGAAACGTTATAAGAAGATGTTAGTGCCATTTTAAGGTTTTGTGAAAATCCATCTGCAGAGATTTCTACAGAACACCGTTTTTTTTAAACAATTTGAAGGAATGAAATTTATATCAAGATCCAACGCGTCATAAATTAAGCAATACTGTAACAACAAGGGTCCTAAAAGGAAATCCAACATTAATAGGAAAGTCTTGTTCTGCTTATTTTATGCATATACGTTTTCAATTAAAAATTTACCATAATCGGAAAAAACATTGCGTTTAAGCGACGTCGACTGCCAAGGGAGAGTAACGTATATGCGGAAAAACTAATCAACGATGTGCTGTTCCAAGCAGAGCTTGGGGAGCTCAATAAGTAGGTATACAAAAATTACATCGGAAAACAGTGCAGTTCCTCACGTGTTAATAGATTTGCAACCGATACAATTACAACCACAATCTAATAATTGGTATCCACCAGCAGCAAACAGTAATTACCAATTACATAATTTACAAAGACCTTCTAATAGTGCTACTTATAATGCGGGTTACAATCCGTCACATGAGGTTCATAATGATTCTTAACTCATACCGTACATATATTTTATAATGTAGGTATAAAATATGTATGTTTTTACTGTTGTTTTGTTTATTTTTCAATAATAAGAATTCTTTCCATTTTCGATTACTTTCGATGGTCTAAGTTACTTTTATGTTATGCTTTTTTCTAAAATGTATAATAAAATGTTTTATGTTCCTTTCTAGTGAGTGTGAATAAACGAATTAACAATAAATTCCCATTTTTCTCTTACCTTCATGTATTTCTTTTGTAGCACTTTATAAATGGCTTCACATGTTTCAGGAATGATTTGACTCAATGCTTGGGGAGATATTATAAGTGAAAAATTGTAGGTCTTGGTAGTTTCGCCCAGTAGCTAAAAATCTGAGCGGTGCAGTTAACCGTTCATGTGCAGTTATTGCAGTTCTCATGACTGTATCTTGACGTTTTATTAATGGTGTAACTAGATTCAAGAGTTCTGTATACGTATCTTCATCCATCCTGAGATAATTACGCGAATCATCTGGTTCCAATTTAAGTTCCTCTAGTAGGTTGATGTGTGAAAATGTTTGCCGTTTTAAAAGCCACCCCTTACTCCACACGCGACGGCGATTTTTTACTTTCTTGTTTTTTTTCTTTGACTATATGCGCACGCCACTGCCACAAGAGGCAATTCATTGTCGTTTAAAACATCGTGCGAACACCTCAGCACCCAGCTAAAAACTGTGATTCAAGTGAGGAGGGGTACCGCCCCGAAAGACTACCACAACAACAGCCGTCACAACAAGAGGGGGGGTCGCTGCAACCGAAGACTCTCAGGGAGCTGGCCCTAACCACCTACAGCAGCCTAAAACACATGGAGCCAGTACACCGGGCCAAGCTGCTGGAGGCAAGGATGAAGACGACTGAGTTAGAACGGCAGCTGGAGGCGGCGAAAAAGGATCAGAATTCTACGTATAGTCGTATATATGGAAAAACAATCTGTTAATCCAGACGGGTACGGTTCTTTCCTAGATGCCCTAAAAGTAGCATTTTCCTTATATTTATATTTAACCTAGAATATCCCAAAACGTATTCGACATCGTTAAAACTACTGCAGAGAATGCTGCTAAAAATTCACCCAGGCGCAGGATCAAAAGCTAAGCAAGTTACCGCCACCAGATGAAAAGTATTCAATTTTATAAACAATTTTAAAAAGTTGTGTTAACTAGTGAATGAGACAAACTATGTATATGAATCGGAGATGTTGTATGTAGGTATTAATAAATATATTATGTAAAGTATGTATTTTCCAAAATAAAAATTTTTAACTACATTATGCATGTATGCAAGACAATTTTTTTAAAAACCGGATTTAAAGAAATTTGCAAAAAGTTAATTTTTGAAGGATTTTGCCTTGGTTTGCCAAATTGGTTCAAACTATAGAGATGGCATTTTATGGTTTAAAATTTTATTCATCCGACAATCACATGTTGAAACTTTGCGAGCAGTACCTACTAAAATGTCAAGTACAAATCTTACCTGCGCAACTAAATCCAAATTCCTTTGTTTCGCTGCAGTTATAATTTTCGTTTCGCCATCTAAACTTTCAATGTGAATTTTGACAAATTCGTCTGCTCGCAGGGGTAGTTTTTGGTTTGAAAAATTCTGTTTAATGTGGTTAAAAGTACTCTCCACACTAGCTGAAGACCCAATCTTAGGAGCATACGGGTACACATTCTTCATAATTGCGGTCCAAAGAGGTAGTGTCGGGGCCAGTGGTAAAACGTCTTTTGCAAATTCGGGCAAAACTTGTTTGTTGGTTTCCGCGATCGCCTTCTTCATTAGGATCTGCTGCAATATTTGTCCGATACCCAATTTGCAAAGCGGTTGTCTTTTACAGTCTGGTGCTCAGGTTAATTTTCATCATCAGTTTCTCTTTTCTCGTGGCCAATAGTTTGATCGATTCTGAGATCTAGTTCCACCGTACCAGTAGCTAGTCTGTTTTTTAACCAATTTTTTTAATTTCACAAAGTTGTCGACCATTAGAGTTGTTTATTTATTTATTTATTTATTCATTTATTTTGCCTTTATTTTTGAGTGGGCGGGGTTTCAGCCAAGGCTGCTCTACCAACCCAACCCACTATACATTTACAAATATCCATGCCCGAACCCGGATTCGAACCAGGGACCCTAGCACCACAGTCCAGCTTCAACTGAACTGCGCCACACGGGCCGGCCCCTCTGTGTCTGAGAATGCCACTATAAATTGAATGAATGCACCAAAATATAGAAGATTTAAATACCTTTGACATTTCCTTCATATATGTCAGCATTATGGATGCATTTAATACTGTATTCGTAAGTAACTTCCTATTCATCCATGGAAACAACTTTTCATATTCTTTATAATAGGCTTTACTGGAGTTGGATTTTACACCTACCAACGTTTGTTTAGATTTTACAACAATCGTTTTAATGGACGGTGTATTATCGTTTTCAACGGAAATTGTTTAATTCACAAAGACGATGATTTTTATAAGCAAACGTCAAGTGACATTTCCATGGCAATCGTGAAATTACGAACACCCAGCCCACTTAATTAGACATGTATTCGAGTATAACGTCAATATCACTTCATTGTATTTCCTATTTTTAAATTATACTGCAGGTATAATAAAAAATACTATAAGATACACGTGTATAATTGGTCTTTAAGGCACTTGCAACGTTAAAGGCACTCCGCTTTGCGTCGTGCCCTTAAACTCGTTGCGCGTGCTTTAAAGACTTGATTATACACTTGTATCTTAATATACTATTACAGAAATTCCTAAATACGTATACATCTGAATTTTTCCAGTAATAAACAAAGAACGGAGAATAACCAATATTTCTTATAGAACACGATAAACTTTGCTCCTGCTTATAATAAAATAAAGTAACTAGAGTATCATCGTGCAAACGGGTACTCTTCAAATATCTGTTTTGCAACTCTTAAGGTCGACAGATTCGGTAAATCAGCAGGTTCATTTTCCTAATTCCATGTATTCTGATGCTAGTTGATTTTTAACCACGGAAGCACTCTTATTTTCTTTAGACATAGAAACTACGACTTGATTTCTTTTCGCCCCCGTTAGAAATCGTTTTAAGTTTGTTACCTATTTATGCTGTCGGCAATTGCGGCGAGGTAACTTACGTCCCGCGGCTAACTCTCGCGCGGGCGTGGTGGTTCAGAACGAACGCTAAATGGATGCTCGGGAGGCGCCAGGTCCTTATTCCTAGTGACTCTCCTGCCGGACCTACAGGAAGGGTATTGCCGCAATAAAAAAAGGAAAGAAAACAAAATTTGCGCCACTAATGGATATTTAATGTAAAATAAAAATAGTTAAATTCTTCCTCTATTCTCACAACTAACTAAACAAGCGTAAGGTAACTCGAAGCGGCTTTAAGTTTCGCGGTGACTAAAGGGACTTCTCCAAGAACCCCCTTGCCAACCAATACGCAATACCTTTGGTAATAATGACCAATGATTAGGACGGTCGAACCCTTGTAGGAAGCGCTGAAAGTAGTTCAGAGTTTTTCCGCAGGCTAATCGAACTTTTCGAGAGTAATTCAGTCAAGGCACCCCTTTCAGGTTTACTGAGTGTGGGAAGGTTTTACGTGCGCAACACCCGGCAAACCTCAAGGAAGTATCTTGGGAAATTGGTCTCTCACAGCGAAGGGGAAGCCTGGGGGGCTAATTTAGAGTTTGAACACAAAAAAGTAGTAGTTATTTTCCGTTTTTTTTCCGTTTCCTTTTTTTTTAAAAAAAAAATATGATTTAAACTTTTTTTTTTGATTGACTTATTGATTTAATGGAAACCAAATAAAGACTATTATTATTATTATTATTAAAATGTACGTCACGATTCCTAATTATACCTTAATATTGAAAGTATCCAAATTTTAAATGTAGGTATACGTCTATTACATGCACAAAGTAATAAAACGTGATATTGGTGAGCAATATTGGAGATTTCAAGCTCCGAGTTAATTTAATATTTCACAGCCGACTTTCTATGTTAAAAGTCAACCGTACACAAAATACCCTTAGAAAATTTTTTGTGTAGAATTTAATACTGAATACTTCTTGTAATAGGTCACTTTGTCATAAATATTGTATTTTGGGAGATAAACGTGAAAAACCAGTACCATCTACGGCACAACGGCGGCCATTTTGTTTTTTAAGTATAAGATTAATCTGCCACTAGTGGCTACTGTCCACCATCCAAATACTGATTCTGCATGTTATAAAGAAAGAGATTGATACCTATCCCATGCTTGTATCATCAAAAATCATGTACACTTGCAAGCCGACTATTTGGTTTTTTTTTTCTGTACAGGTTTTCAAAGGTCCAGCACGTCAACATACTCATTCCGCTGATTGGGGAGATATAGCAGCTAAGTCGATACAGCATTCGATGAAATGCATGGCGAATGATCAGTCGATGATTAACCCCTCCAAAATATACTTGCATGTTATAAAAACAATTCCAGCACATGGCGAAATTAACCGCCAAAGAACACCTAAAAAGAACCATTAGAAGGATTCAGGCTAAGAAGCTTTCCTTCTCCAGCTACAGTGTAAAGCATAAACGAACTGCCTGAGTCCTATCAAGAGCTAGATGGCCGTAAGTGGTTGCTTATGGATACGGGATCCCAACCGTCAATTCATTTTCGCATCGTTGGATGGTCTTCGACAACTATCAAAGAATTCATTTTTCATAATGGATGGAACCTTTGATGCGGTTCCTGGGATTACTTTGCAACTGTATACCATCCATTCAGGCATTGTAGGAACTGACAAGTTTTTGCCTTGTGTTTACGCTTGCATGATGCACAAAAACAAGGAGAGTTATATAACACTATTTAACTGTGTTAAAAAAGCAGTGAAGACTCAGTACAATAAGTTACTCGAACTCCTCTTCGTGGCAGTCGATTTCGAAAAAGCGGCGATATCAGCAATTAAGGAATGTTTTAAAGGAGCTGCTATTTCTGGTTGCTTATTCCATTTTTCGCAAATATTATGGCGGCGTTTACAGTCGATTGGCCTTCAATCCACATATCAAACCAAAGACGAACAGGAACTTAGAAGCTCATTCCATTCCCTCATTGCATTAGCATTCGTGCCAGTAGAGGACATCGAGAAGGTTTTCGACGATGTTGTAGATTCATGTGATGAGAGGGTACTCGAAAAATACGATACGGGAAATGTGAACTCTCTTGACGAATATTTCCCTCATATGTAATAAATGCCATTTACAGCGATAATTGCACTGTAGAAAGCGAAAGAGCCCTGCGATAATTGCACTGTCCATATCCATGGCAACTGGCAACTCCTTTGGACAATTTCACAATACACCGATAATTTATAAGTAGGTAACGTCAGTTTGACAAGTAATGCTTGTTCGGGAAATATTCCCCTAAATTACACTCGTGCATCAAAATAAACCTGATAATTTTTTATTCAAGCATGTTGTCAGTAAAAACTGCATTCGGTCATTTTCATATTTTGTTAAAAGAGCCCTCCACCTTCGGTGTCGGGCGGGGTGCGATTGTCTAACAACCTGGTGTGTGCTAGGTCTCTTACTTGGGTGTATAGGGCACTCGATCTGTGGCTTTACTATTATGAGCACGACGAAGTAGTAGCCGATGGCTTACCTATGATAGACTAAGTATTGCTTAGGGGCTTATTTATAGCCTACACACGATACACTTACAACGGTATGCTCTTGCGCATCTAGAGTGACGTCACGTGCGAACAAAACCACAGAATATAGAGCAAAATTTCGCTTCTTAGATCGACAAATCACACTGATTTTGTGTAGAGATCGTCGCGGCGGGTATTTCCTGTGATTTGGTGATCGTATGAAATAAACTCGAATCAAAAATATTGGCCCTAAACATGAAGTGCGGCTTTTTCAGTAAATATTATGTAATTAATGCCTTATTAAAAGATGGAATTTCTCTTCCGTTTCCATTTTATTTTGATTTTCATTATTACGTGGTAGTTTTAAAGTAGGGAAAGCATCAGGTTTCAAATGTCCGCTGTTTTTAAAAGTAGGTTTAATTAAGAAATCGTTCCCTTAGCGGTGCTTCAAAACGGCTGGCTTCAACATGTTCAGAGCAAATACAGGCTATGGAATTAAACAGCAATGGAAAGACTTAAATACACCACTTAATATTAATGTAACACCATTTTTCAAGTTAATTTTGTCATTACGACGACTTGCAACAATCCATTTTTGAGAAAAGTTTTCAATTTTCCGAAATCGAAAGTATTTTATTTCCGTTCGTTTTGTTTTTCTATTAGAATATTAGAATATTGAGCCACTACAGAACCTGGCATTTTGGAAATTTCACTAATGATTAATTAGCTATCAACAAATTAACGCTAAACCTCGTAGATACAAGATACTTATAAGTTGCAAAACTGTCACGCGTGACATGTGTACTACTAGATCGGTCCTGGCGTAAACATTTGAATTTTGGCGCCACATGTTCGCAGGTGACGTAATGCGCAGTAGAAAACGCGTTTGAGAAAAATAATGAGCATACCGTGTGTAAATGTATCGTTGCGCCTAACGATGTCGTTACACAGCGATTATCATTCGGCAACGACTTGCCCTATTCTGTACTCTACAATGGATCGTTTCGAAACAACAATATGGCGACAAATCTGTGGTTATTTTACGACAAGCCCTAGCCACTCGTTGAGTCGTTATAAGTACCTATAGCATATACACACCGGCAAGATGGTAAAAGAAAACTGATGCCATTTGCGGTACCTACTCTGTTTAACGTACCTAATCCGCCAAAAAGACTTGACACTCAACGTAAGAGCTATTATAAAGTACGAAAACATACTTGTATATGAATTTTGTACTTAACAATGATTTAATAGCGAAGAACCAGTGACAATCATAAGGAAGTCTCCCATACACATTCCAACGAGAGCAACAAATTCATGAAGATGAAAGTTGAATCTATGACAGCTTTTGAAAGGGATTGCGCACTTATGATGAAATGAAAATTTCCGGAGAAAGTAAACTTCGATAAACAGAAGACGATGTTTTTTGGTGAACTGGGAGACACAACTAAAACTGGAAACCACTTAACAGTAGTTGCTCTTAGAGGCCTGAATACCCGTTAAAACAGATAGTTGATTGCCATGTCACCGGACCGTCTACAAGGATCAGATATGAAAAGCCTAGTGCTAGGAGTAATCGATGCCGTAGAGAAGATTGGGTTAAATGTTTGTGCTATCGTGTCAGATATGGGTGGAAATAACAGAGGATTGTGGACCGAACTAGGTGTCAAAGTAACAAGATCTGAAAGAATAAACAGTTTTTCCTTCAATGAAAAGAGAATATTTGTATTTGCTGATGCACCACATTTGCTAAAAAAATGGAAACAGGCATTGCTCTCATCAACTGTTTATCTACCAAATAATGTAGTTGACAGTGAAAATTTACCTACTGATGTAATTAAAGGTAAATATGTCGCCGATTTGTATAAATTGAAGTTAAATAGTGGCACTGGATTCCGATTATTACATCACTTGTCAAATTGACATTATTAATCCAAATCAAACTAACATAGTTTTAACACACAATTTGGAAAATGTTCATAGGCTTGTATGTTATAGCATTGAATTTATAAGTATTCAATGGTTACAGCTGTTGTTTGTTAACGACAACATACAGAATAGACCCCTTAGGGCCGCGGCCGGTTGTTTAGGTGTTGGTTAACCAACAAACTAAAGTTTAAACTAGAGATTTAGAAATTTTACCGTTGTATAGGTTATAGTTACAGTAAAAGTACGGTTTAAAGTAAAGAAAGCATTAGTAACTTTAAACCACGGTCGAAGTACCGTTTAAACTCCAGATTACGGATTAGCGCAGTATTTTTATTAGATTTTTACAAACCACGACACATTCTGGAAGTGCACTATTATTTGTTAAAAATGGTTGAGGACATATATGATATATTTCATGACTTAATATCATGAAGCGCCTCGAAATATTACAACATTTAGAGTAAGACCGAATCATATGGAAATGTGGAACAATCAAGAATTTAGAATATCTAAAGGATCAGTCGAGATACTTCTACAGGGCAACACTTAGAATATCCAACAAACCAGTCAGTAGGCATTTAATATAATCATTGTGTTTACATGAAAATTTACTTGCAGAAACCATGCTGTTCAGCCGCTGCATCAATTACTAATTACACTAAGGTTTTATGCCACAGGCAATTTTATTATTGTAGCATCAGATTTTGGGGGTATCGATAAATCAACCACCTCTAGAATTATTATGAAGGTATCATCTGTAATTTCTGGTATTGCAAGAAAATACATCAAAATGCCTTCAAATGAAAATTTCCGAAGAGTTGCAAATGGCTTTCATAACTTAGCCAGGTTCCCTAATGTTGTTGGAGCTATTGATTGCACCCATATACGGATACACTCTCCAGGTGTGTAATTGTCGTTAAAATATATCATGTAATATTTATTATTGCTACAGGAGGAGATAATGCTGAACATTTTCGTAATAGGAAAGGCTGGTTTTCTTTAAATGTTCAAACAGTCTCTGACTCCAACTTAAAAATTTCTAATATAGTAGCAAGATGGCCTGGATCTGCTTCCGATAAAACAATTTTTGCCAACTCTCGAATAAAAGCAGAATTTGAAGAGGGGCGATATAGGAATGGTTTTTTAATTGGAGATTCTGGGTATACGCTTACAATATACAGGGTGACAATTTGAAAACTTACCACCCCCCATATCTTAGTAAATAAACGAGATATTTAAAAAAATCAAAATACGTGTCGGTAATTCGGAGGGGGAATCACAATGACATAGTTGGCGACGCACCCCCTCACACCCCCTGCGCCCTAGCCACCCCAACTTTTAAATCTTAAATAGTGACTCCCCATGTGTGATACGTCATTGGAAAGCTCTGAAAAAATGCTTTCCAACCATACCAAATAGCATTAGGTTAGTAATTATCGTGCAAATCAAAAAATAAACATGGAAAATCGTATTTAACTTGAACTTCCAAAGCCGACTTGACAGCAACTCATTTTTGATCGCCAGTTATAATCTATTCTCAAACTCTTGTCGAACCTTTTCAAATGTTGGTTTTGCAATATTTCGACATTCTTGAATTATTCTCCGTCTTAGTTCGTCTATGTTCGCCGGTTGCGTTTTAAATACGACAGATTTCAAATGTATCATTATTAGCTTATTTTTTGATTTGCACGTACGGCCTCAAACATACAATAAGAAATTGCAACTGAAATTATTAGTGAATTAAATCTTATAGACTTCATGCATTACTACCTTCATCAATCACTACATTATTTGGTGCAAAATTAAGTGCCTCTGGAGGTGTGAAAGGAGTGTCTGCAAGTATGAAGAATTATACATTTTGATTGGTATCATACATCCCATTACCTTCAGTAATTGCAGTATCATTCGCTGTGTAATTATGATCCTGTGACAGTGAACACGGAACTGCATCACTGCAACACCACCACCAGTCTTGTAGCGTTCACATTTTTCTGCAGCATATTTTTTTCGTGCACCTTTATTTAAGTTTTCCCATTTTCCTTTTAAATTTTTTACAGTACGCTTAATTGGTTTAATGGATAATTCAATAAACTCTATTGCAATTTGTTGCCACATCTTTTCCTTGTCCTTCCACATCACAGCATCACTTTTTTGGACTCGATTATGTGCTTATATTTTTTTTACGAAGTTTACTAAAGCATCTACCTCTTCATTGCTAAAGTTTCCTAATCTTGAATTTTATTTGTCTTCCATCACTTTTTTCACTAAATAATTAGGGATACAACTCTAGTAAACAAAAAAAGAATAGTGTCTAACCTTAAAATTGTAGTATCCCTAACGTCGAATCAGCTGTAAAAATGTCGCCACATTCGAAATACGTATCGTACGATGTTATGACGGAGGAGCAAAAATGCTATAATTTCCTCGTATCGCAATCCTTCCAAGAAGTAACCTTCAATTAGATTTCTTAGTGGGTTATCCATGCTTGCTGTAAGAATACTCCTTTTAAAAATAACGGGAAAATGTTGGAACAGGGTAAACGATAAAGTCAAGTAATAGAATATTGCGCGCGTACAGTAAAATAACGGAGGCCTTAGCGTTTATCGATTTCCGCTGTGTGCCTGTAGGCTTTTTAATGACGGGTATCAGTTCCCAAAATATTATATGAATGAAAAATATTAAGGCGGTAGGGTCCTTACCATCACAGGTTTGCAGAACCAGCTTAGACACACGACACGCCGAATAACTAAAACACCAAGTTTGTCGGAAAAACTGATGCGTTCAGCGCTGTTTACTTCATGTCTAAACATCTCGCAACTGCAACTTCGCAATTGCAAGTTCACATCTCGCCATTTACGCTTATTTTAAATTGTTTAGTGGCACCCAGAGCTTCCGTAAATTCAGCTGTTATTACGACTTTCAATTACTTTGGGTGCGGTCGAAAACTTACTGCAAATGCATTGTTTGCCGAGAATACATAAATAAGTGGTCATAAATTTACTGACGCTTACTACATTTACTTCAACTTTAGTGAATAATTTAAAGTACGCATGCGTCAATTTTTACACCTTTTACTGTAAATGCTTCTCGAAAATAGGTGGTAAAACGACAGTAAACAAAACAGCTGATCAGTTTAAAATGGAGTTAACCTTAATTGATGCTGATACTAATAAAGAATTTAAGTTGTTCCTGAATGAAGAGGATTACAATAAGGCCGTTAATGGTAATATGCTTCAAATTACTTTGAAATTCCTAAAATGTGTTTGTAATTTACTTTTTTAGATGTCACATTTGCAACAGTACTTTTACAACATGCAATAATTAACAGTAAAGCCTCTTCTACTGTTCCCGGGAATAAGAATCCAACACGCCAATCATTGGATACTGATACTGAAACATTAGGAATTAACTGTTCACAGGAATTACCGAATGACAGTGAAGACGTACTGTTGTCCCCATCAAGTGACAATCTACTGTTGTCCCCAGCCAGTAACAATCCGTTGTCCCCATCAAGTGACAATCTATCGATACCGATTAATGAAAATGATTCGGAAAATACAGAAGGTATTGTAAAATGTATTCTATATTGAAGTAATACTTTTCGTAAATTGTAGATATTTCTGGCCGTTGGTCACACGAGGGAATATTATTATTGCTGGATGTATATCATACAAAATCAGATTTGTTGGTAAAGGGTAAAATAAAACAGAAACTGTTTTGGGAGCAGATTGCTTCTTTAATTAATAAAAAGGGATATAATGTAACAGCAAAGCAGTGCCAAACAAAACTTGCTACCCTTAAGCGACAATACAAAAAAATTAAGGACTACAATAACACTTCAGGCAACGATAGAAAGGAGTGGATTTACACAGAAGTATGTACAGTTTATTCTTATACTATGTAGTTTAGTGATATTTTAGAAAATGGATGAACTATTTGGCAATAAACCGTGGGTTGAACCTGTAGCAACAGCATCCTCTTCTCAAAACCCAGAACCATCACTTAACTTGCCTGCGACGATGCCTTCTACACCGACAAGACCTAGTCTATCAAACACACCCCAAAGTAGGTGCTTATTGTTTACATGTAAATTATTCATATCTTATTATTTAGAGACCAACTCAAAAAAAGTAGTCGACATTCTTACGAAAATTCGAGAGGACCGGGAAAGACACCACAGTGAAAGAATGGCCAAAAGCTCGGAAGCAATTGCTTTATTAAAACTCTTGGTCGAACAAATTGCAAAATAAAAATGAAAAATTTGTAGATATTTATTATAATAAAAGTGTTTTGATGTTTTACAGTGCATAAGAGTATTGTTATATTGTCAAATGTCATATGTCTTCACGGGTAGGTAATGCAGCAGCAATTGCATCACGTTTTTGTTTAGCCAATGCCTTTTCGTTTGTATCTACATTGCCATTAACTCCACATTGAGTGTTATTCTTATCGGATGTATGCAACGCTAAAGGTTGAAACTGATCATTTTTTAAAAGGCAAATATTATGTATAACACAGCATGCAATAATGTATTGTGGAATAAGGTCAGTTCTGATCATGGGAAGATTATCTAATAATCTTCTCATTCTTCCCTTAAGAAGTCCAAATGATCTTTCAATTACCATTCTGGTGGACGAGTGACAATAATTGTAGTTTTTTTGAGCTCGAGTTAGGTGACCATTGTCTTTGTAAGGCACCATCATATGCGTATGCAACATATACGCAGCATCTCCTAGTAAGTGTACATCACCAGGAAATTTGGCAGCACTCTTTAAATACTCTGCTACTTCGGATTTCATAAAAACCCTTTGGTCATGCACTGCACCAGGATACCCTGCATAGCAGTGTATAAACATTCCTTTTTCATCACAGACACCCTGGAAAATATCTATTATATTGCTTTGTAGCCAAATATGCAACAACCTGTAATTGTATCGAATGTATTCCTTTTCGGTTCACATATGCCTCTGGATGCTCTTTTGGAGCTGTAATTGAGATGTGTGTGCCGTCAATTGCACCGATTACACCTGGAAAACCAGACATATTTTTAAATGCTGCTACACTTGCAGTAATTTTTTCAGTTGTTGGCCACATAATGAAACTGTGTGAATAGTTGTACAAAATTCTAACTACGTTCCTCACACATACTATTGCAGTAGCTTTCCCAACACCGAAACGATCACATACTGATCTAAAATAGGTTAGCATGAGTATATAAATTTATCATATCAACATGTCCAACCTATAAGAATCGGGAGTTCCCAGAACCCATAACGTTATAAGAAGTTGCTTTTCAGCTGGTATCGCAGGTCGTCCTGGTTTTACCGTTCTTTCTCTAATTTTGTCCGCTATTAATTCTAAAATAACTTCAAAGGTTCTCCTTTGCATTCTGTAAATGTAAAAACATCAATAAATCAATAGCTACTTTATACAAAATAAGAATAATGGCACACCAACCGGTTCTGGCTTTTGCTATCGGAGATGTAATTCTCTTACCTAAAATGTGATTGAAATTGTGAATCTCCATATAAGTGTACCACATTTTCCACATAATTTTCAATTCTAGGAGTAGCTTCCTTTCTCTTGTACCGTGTATTTGCGGTAATTGCAAAAAGCTCTTCATCTGAACTACTAGAATCATCTATGATTTCTAATAAATTATTTATTACCACAATTTTTAAAACATTCGTATCCATTTTCATGAATAGAAATAGAAAGTGAATGATGAATGATAGATATTGAAGGTTATGGTAAGATCACAAATGCACAGTTTACTGAAAGCTGGTCTAAATTTCAAAACGTACAAATTGTAATATCAGTAAAAGCAAATAAAAAACCCCTTTACTGCGGTTACGCTGCTAGCTTTGCTGTATTTTTACGTAGTAAGTTTTCGACCGCACCCTTTATGTTCTGAAAGTATATCGTATTCAGCAAAATATTTAGTTCGACGCACACCTACTTGACAATGGTAACGGTAAGTTATCTTTCAGATCGTGTTACAATTTAAGCTTTTATCAGTATTAGTCAGCGTCTGCATCTTACGTTTTTCATTCATAAGAGCAACAGTCTGTATCTGTAGCTAATGTTGACGTCGAATTTTGTTATTAATTGCATTTATATTATTTGATTATGATTGATTACATTTTGTGACGGTTTTTTTCGAAACCGTATAAATTGCTTATTTGGTTAAGAATTCAGTAGTTTTTTTGAGATTGTATTTCAGGCTTTAACGTTCTAATTTTCCTTGCGCTTAATTTTCACTCCGTGACAGCATATTCATTGCATTGTGACATTTAAATGTTATCACTGCTTATCCCCTTCTATGTATGTTTTTCTCCTTGTCCTGCAATTCAAAGTTGGAATCTTTAAAGTTTTTAAATATTTGGGTCACCTGAGATTGATTAGGGGAACCCCGCTTTTATACATTTCCCCAGAAAAAGTGAAAGTCTTCTTCTCTTCCTGTTGCAACTCTCGTGCAAGATTGAAGTGTGGTTAGCTGTATTCTAATTAAAATTTATCCAACTCATCGTGAGGATTATTTAAGAAGAAGGCTCCTTTTGAAGCTGGAATTATTAGTTGGCAATTTGGGTTCTGCTATTATTGGACCAGCGTTCATTTTCGCATTTGGGCGGATTATTGAAGCGTTAAGTGGATAAAGGTGTCATGTAACATTGAGATAAAGTTGAGAAAATTAAAGTTAAAGTTTTTAACTTGGTACTTTTTTATGATTGCAAGACAAAATCCGGCTTACCTCAATACGTGTCGCATTCAGGAATATATCTTTTAGGCTTCAATCAAATATGAATTTTTTTTATTTATTTCTATTTTAAAGGGTAATTTTGTACATGACACCTTTATCCAATATTAGTCACACTTATTTAGACATGGAGAAAAGTAATACATATATTGTGTAAACGAAAAATTTTATTCTGCCAATTTTTAAAGAAAACAATAAAAGTTAAGATTAAATATATAGATTAGTTTGTCTTTCTGGCCTTTTTCTTAGATTTTTCCGTGGTATGGGATTTCTCGTGTTTGTCAAAAATTTTTTCATAGTACCAGCGATACTCTTCCTTAACAAACTTTACTTGCTCTTTTAAGTTCCCTATCTTTTCGTTTGAAAGGCTTCCTCTATTTCCTTGAACCCTTGTTAAATTTACATGTTGTGGTTCAACAAGTTTGTGGGCCGCTTTCAAAATGTTAACCTTTTGAAAAGGTTCTTCTTCATCCAGAGTCTCTTTATAAAAATATGATCCATATTCATTCACTCTTATCCATTTAACTTGATCTCTAAATTTAACTTGTTGTTCTAAAGTGTTCTTCTTTTTGTTAGTTAAATGCAGACGTTGCACCAGTATTTCAAGATCCAAAAAGTATGGTTTCATATCAATACAGATAGAGGTTTTAGCACTTGCCTTTAGTATAATTTCGCGGTATTGATCTGGAACATAGATGTTCTCCACTAGTCTCATTTTTCGTTCAATGCGCCCAAAATCTCTATCAGAGTCCAAATACGAATGCCCCACCTCTGGAAACTTGTGGTCTATAACTTGGAATATGCCTTTCATCACTAAGTACTGGTACAAAGTAATGATGTTAAAATTTTTATTTTGTCCGGCACATGAGTCCGACCAAATGATAAGGTGGGTGAATTGCTCGCCATGTGCATCTTTGAACAGTTCAGCGAATCTCATCAAGCAGCTACCTATTTCTATGCTTCCTCTATTAGCTTGATCTTCCGTCCACGTAAAAAAGTACGATTGATGTCCTGCAGATGTTATAGTGTGAATCCCAAAATTATACAACCACATCTGGCGTAGGTAGAAAGCTTTAGATGTCGATAATTTCGGGAGCGGCATCGTTTGCTGCAAGTCCATCGTCATATAGCAAATATTAGGTTTTGTACTTGCTAACTGGCGATCTACACGTTGTTTGTCAAAAGCTAATTTGTACTTTTGTTTATGTTCGTTAGTACCCTCACCAGAATCGCACGTGGAGCATGTATCGCTTTTGGGATCGCCAAACCCTAAATTAAATTTAGTTGAAAAAATCTTACTGTAGGAACTTCGTGTGCACTTAAAATAATCTGGTAACTTATTTTCAACACAATGTTCGAGATAGAGTTTGTGCATAATGGTTATATTTAGAACTGGCGCCAAATACATTCTGTGGGGATTGTGATTTCTCGAATAATGCGATTCTTCGGCAGGAAACTTTTTAATATGGTTAATGATGCACTCAACAACATCATGTTTAAGTTTATGAGGCCTATTTGAATGATGACCCCTTTTATCGGGAGTGGAGCGATTATAAATCGGCTCAGATCGATGGGCGACAATTCGATGATTAATATCTTTCATTCATTCTCAGTTTCGATGAGGATTTGAATTAAAGAAAAAATCTTTTTTAGACACGTTTTTTATATTTACTAATGCGGCTATCGATTTCAATCTATATCAGGTCATCTTCAGGCCGAGCGTCATATGGTGAAGTGAGGGTGCATATAATATTTTTAACGATGTTCTATAATATGTGAATTAGTTGTCAGGAATGATAGTTTAAATGTAATAAAAGTGAGGTTGTGTACTATCCTTGCCAGGGATCTGTGCCCCTGCGTCATCATTTATATTTTATGGTGTAATATGAAAAAAGCTAGTCAAATTATGTCAGTAATAATTATATGTATAATATCCTTGAATGATAATGTCGATGGGTTTTTGGCAGAACATCGTAAGCGACATATTTGACAATTTTACGTTTTTTGGTGTAAACTGTCGCTTACGATAAGCGGAAGGTCCCTGCAAAACATCATAAGTAAATAATTAACCGTTTTCTTTCAATTTAAAAAAGAAAATTATCGTAAGCGCCAAATTTTATAAACAAAGCCTGTCAAAACATCGTAAGCGAGGACCTTTTACCGGCAGAACATCGTAACTGTTACGAAAATTAGGAGAACGTGGCGCTTACGATAGAAATTCCTAACCGTGTCGGGCGCTTGCGTCATTATGGCTGTTTGTTGATCAGGTAATGGTGCTGTTTGATTTGTGGCTAGTGACTACTTATTCATTTTTAAGCGTAGACTTGGGTGAGTTTTGCAATTTTATGTAATGTAGAAATTAGAAACTTTAATCATTATTTATAAGTAATACGTTGCTATTTTATAAATGACAATAATGTTTGGTGTAGGAAATGGCCTCGTTACGAAGTAAACATTTGGTACAGTTAGCATTAAATACTGAACGCAGCGGAGATTTAGATCAATTAGATCAAATCCCCTCTATGAATGGGGAGAACGTCGATTATGAAAACATGTTTATGACCAGTTCAGATGCTTTTGACATAGACAATATTCCAATTATTATTGCGGAAAACGATGATATAGCCACTCAGCATTTAGGGCAATTATTTGTCGATAATAACTTAGTAAATGCCCCTTTATGGTCTGAGGTAGATGAGCACAATGAACGTCAGATAGAAACAGGAATATTGGAAGAATCTATCGATAGTACTAATACCTATTTAACACGCCTGGTAGATTATTCGTCTAGCTCAGAATCGGAACCTGAACAAAAAACTTCAAAAATAAAATCCAAATTTAAACGATTTGATTCTGACTTGTCCTTTAATGAAGTAAATAACCAATATGCTACTGATTCTGATGTAGAAGAACCGATGGATGAATTATTAACAGAGATTGTTGGAGAATCCGGTTTGAGAAAAGCTAAGTCACCCAATAAAAGGCACACACGAAGGATTCAAAAACTTTTGGGCGCTGGGAAGTCTGTGCAAGACAACCCTTGTAAGACCAAAAAATGTCAAAACTCTTGCGCAAAAAAATTCACTGAACAACAACGCCATGAAATTTTTGAATTTTATTGGGGTTTAGGAAGTCTTCAAAAGCAGCGAGATTGGATTTTGCTGTGCATCGAAGAAAAGAATATAAAGAGAAGACGTAGACGTGATGTCGAAAACAGCAGAAGAGTCAGAACCTTTAAGTATGTCATACCATGGAATGAAGAAAAAACAGAAGTTTGCCAACAATTCTTGTTGAAAACTCTATGCATATCACAAATGACGTTGAGGTATACGAAAAACAATGCGGTAAATTTTACATGTGCTAAAACGGATAAACGAGGCAAGCACGAACCTCACAATAAAACGTCATTACAGGATAAACAGCTGGTTCATGAATTTATTAAAAAATTACCTGCAGTACCATCACACTACTGTAGAGGTAGCACCGTAAAGAAATATCTACCTACAGAGTTGAGGAATGTATCTTTTTTATACAGAATTTTTAAAAAGGATACCTTAGAATACCTCAAAATAAAGACCAAAATATCTCTAAAGGTGTTTCGAGAGATTTTCTCCAACGATTTTAATATAGGATTTCATCTTCCTAAAAAAGATAAATGCTCTACATGCGAATCTAGAAAGGGTCAACAGTTTACATTTTCAGCAGAAGATGAAAAACGTTACGAAATTCATTTAAAACACAAAGAAGAAAGTAAAAAACTATTTTTGTCCGATCAAAAAATTGCAAAGGAAGATAAAACTTTTGTATGTGCAAGTTTTGACCTGCAAAAGGTTTTAAATACTCCTCATGGTGATAATATGCTGTTATATTACTCACGGAAATACGCGGTATACAATGAAACAGTATATGAAAGTGGAACAAGGCGCACGTTTTGCTATTTGTGGGGTGAAACCGACGGTAATCGTGGCTGCGATGAGATCTGCACAATTATAAATAAATATTTGCAAGACGTTGACCAGCGTGTTTTTGTCAAATTCGTTGTGCTTTACTGCGATAGCTGCTCCGGGCAGAATAGAAACAGGGCCATGTTGAGTATGTTGCATCAATTTTTAAAAAGTTCCAAGAACGTCCATCATATAAAAATAGTGTTTCTTCTTCCGGGACATACGTACATGCCCGTAGACTCGGTCCATGCAACAATAGAACGCTTCATTAACAAACGCACCGTTTGGGCGCCATCGGAATGGCATACTTTAATCGCTAATGCGAGGGTTAATCATACACCTTTTGAGGTAATTAATATGAAGCATACCGATTTCATGTCTTGGAAAGAAGCGGCTAAAAATGTATTACCAAACAAAATTAATAAAACAAAAGAAGGAGAAAAAATTTTACTGAGTCAGCTAAGAATTGCTTCTTTCAAAAAAGGTGAAGATGTCATTAAAATTCAATATTCTTTTTTGGACTGCGACGGACAACAAACTGTAGAACTTCGTCAACCACGTAAATGTTAGTATAAATTATGATGTTTTATAATAAATGCTTATGCTTTTGTTTATAGCTAAAAGGTCAGCCAGCAGTCTCCTAGAAATGCCGAAAATAGGAAATTTATATCCATCACCGCTCCCAATTTCTGCCTTGAAGTTAAAGAATTTAATGGACCTATGTGCCAAGCGCGTGATTCCAGAACGCTACCACAAAGAATACGAAAATTTTAAGGGTACGATAGAGGTTGAAGATACATTGGCAGAAACGGATGAAGAGGATGAAAAAGTTGAAGAAGACTGAGATTTGTCTAAGCAGAGCTCCTAGAATTATGTTGTTTATTTTGTTGTTTTTATTTACTTCCATTTATAAACAATTGACCTATTTGTTTATAATTTCATTACTTCTTAGAAACAAATAGCTGAGCCTATAATTATTTAGAAATTCACATCCAGAAACGAGCAGAACATCGTATGTGTATCGTAAGCGGCTAAGATTTAAAACACAATTTTAATATTTTCTTGGCAAAACATCGTAAGAACCAAAATTGCTTAAAAAATCAAATTTTTTTTTAAAATAACCATTGTAAACGAGTTTTAATGATAAAAAAAAACGCCGTATAAAATTTCATTGCGATACGACATGAAATACAGTTGCTATCAGAAAAAGTCGTTTCCTGTAAAAAGTAACATTTGGCGCTTACGATGTTTTGACAAAACACCATCGATGTATGCTCAGAGATGGCGGCAGCGGCGCTAAAAATCTTATTGACATTACGAAGTTTTGTTATGCTGTGAATTATCTGACGAATTTGTAAAGCGCAATTAATGGTCGGCAAAATATCTTAATCTGCGCCTAATTTGTAAATATCCAAGAAATTGCCTTACTCTAATTAAACTAATAATCAAAACAGTGTCATGTTTTATGCAACGCTGATGTAAGAAACAACTACAATTTTACTATAATTGATAGTTTAAAAATGAATCTTGTAGAGTTTGGGCAGTAAGAAGTGAAATTTCAAGCACCCAAATCAGTTGATTGACTCATCGAGTGTAATTTCTTGATATGCCCAGTAAAATCTGTAGAAGGCTCAAGAATTAAAAAAAAATCTCATGTCAGTACATGTATATTGTTACAATATTATTAATACATCAGTGTGTTAATAACATTTCAGTAATAAACTAATCCGTATCCGAATCGTAATCTGAACTTTCGGAGCAATTACCAATATTAATTATCATTTCGTTTACAGTGAAATCTAATACTTCTTCTCGTTTATACCACGCCTTTATAACGTCTTCTGTGTGTCGCACACAATTGGCCCAAAACGTTTCGTCACATTGTTGCAGTGCCTCGTTCCACATAGAAATTACACTGTGGTCACTGTAGCCGTCTCGTCCAATATGTTTATCGTAATAACTTTTAGCATGTGCCCACACCAACTCGATAGCATTAAATTCGCAGTGGTAGGGTGGTAATCGTAAAACATCATGTCCATGGTTCCTAATGATGTTGTCGACCTCATATTGTTTTTGGATTCCTAACGATTTTATAAATGAATACAGCTCGGGCTTGAAGAGTGTAGAATCAAAAGGAATATTTCTTCTGGTCAACCCAGCAACCATATCACCTTTAGTCCAAGACGATGTGGGCAGTTTCTCTAATGTAGAGTGGTATGGTGCATTATCGATGACAATTAACGAAGGCTCTTCCAAGTTGTTTAACAGATTATTGATAAGCCATTTCTTAAAGAGATCTCCATTCATTTCCCCATGATAGTCCTCTTTCAACGACTTCGAGACAAATAAAAGAGAAGCGTTCTGTATAAACCCGGTGCTTGTACCAGCATGGACAATAATAAATCTTTTCCCATCGTAACCTGCAGGTTTTCGCACACTTTTTAAATCTTCATCTTGCCATGACTTTCCGGGGTTTCCCTTTGAATAAATCCATGTCTCATCCATGAACACAATTGGTCTTCGACTAGATGAACGTATCTCCTGCATATATTGTCTAAGAAACTTGGTTCGCATTTCTGCAATGTTCGGCTTTTCTATCAATGCCCTACGATTGGAGTCTTTTTTGAATTTAAATCCAAGGGCATGTACCGCACGATTTAAACTTCTGTCACTTAATAATACATGGGAGTTTTTGATTTCAGCATTTAACGCTACCACCGTGACATGCTTCTCTGTAAATAATTAGATACATTTTAAAAATGAACTAAGAGTCAAGTATTATAATGAACTCACTTTGTGCATACATGTTATACAATGCATTCCGAATGCACATTTTTGATGTTTCCGGCAGATTTTGGTTTGGCACGTGGTCGTTTTTTCCCAGGACTTGACAAAATTGGATTGACAAGTGCTCGAGACTTGATTTTTTTGACCATCCTGACAGATATGCCTAGGGCGTTAGCTACACGCTGTAATTCTACGATCATATACACTGGAGTGTAAATACTAACTACGTACCTCTTGGACACAAGACACAGGCAACAAAGGTGCGCCATTTTCTTTCTCTTTTTCAAAATACTGCAGAAGGTTAAACACAAACTGCTGTGATTGTGTGTGTAAGGTAGCCATCGCAATGGGTATTACCCAATCGGTACAAAAAATAGGTAGGTGTATGAAGTAG